GCTAGTGTGGCCCTGACTGACAGACACCCAAAGTTGTACTGGCTTATTCGAAATGGACATCACTCACTGACAACGTCTTCGCTTTATTACCGAAAACCCCTTCCCCCCCTTACTTCATCGTGATCCCTTTTCCTCCGGTTAGCAGCAGATCCTTGTTCCAGACGTCTCCTTTTTGCTGGTCCTCCTCTATTCTTGTTTTCCCCGTTTTTGCTTAGGCAGTAGGCAAATTTATCGCTAACTCTACCTTCCTCCAATCTCTTGTTCATTAGATTTCTCTCCCCAACGATTAAAATGGCCTCCCTACTCTTCCGCTTTCTTGTGTCGTCACCGTATGGAGCTTTCCTTTCATTTGCTTTCAAATTGATTTCGTGTCCAGTCCGTGCAATGTGTTCCGCTAGTTCTGATCTTTCGGTATCCATTTTCCTGCAGAGCCTCTGATGTTCCTTCATCCGTGTGCTAATTTTTCTCCCTGTTTCGCCAATATATTTCTTTTCGCAGCCACCGCATGATATACAGTAAATTCCTGAACAGTCCAATTTGCCTACCCTTTCCTGTTGTGTTGGTAGACTTGTGAAAAGTGTTGATTTTTCCTTCATGACCACCTGAATATTCCATTTACTCAATATTGGCCATAGTTTTTGAGTTAGTTCGCAGGAAAGCAGGCATATCCACTTTTGTGAATATTTAATCGTCCTTTCTGTCCTTTCCGAGTCCCCGTTCTGCAATCGGCTTTTCACGGCCCGTATGTTTCTTTGTATCACTTCGTTTTGGTACCTATTGCCGAGGAAGATCCTAGTCAATTTGTCCAGCTCCTCGTCCCAGAATTCTACATCCGCTTCGGATGATCATGTTCCTTTTATTCCAATCTTCAGCCTGTAATTCTGATGGGACCGGAAATTGAGTATTATTCCAGCATAGGACTTCTTTCTGAACAATTTCTTTTTGAGCGTCCCATTAGAACGAATCACTTCAACGTCCAGGAACGATAACCGCTCACCTTCCTTTACTTCCATTGTGAATTGAATTTTTTTCATCAATCTAGTTTACAAATTTCAGAAACTCTTCTAGTTTTTCTCTTACATATGACTAAAGTGCGAAGTGATCATCCAGGTACCGCATGAGCACTGTTGGTTGTAGCGGTGCCGTCTTGAAGCTTTCTTCTATTTTGTTAATGTATACGTTTGTCAAAAGTGGTGAGAGCGACGATCCCATGGGAAGTCTAAATATTTGTTCAGAGATGTTCCCGATGAATGCA